AATTTTATACATAAGCTGGACATGCATTTATGGCCCCAGCTATGTAAGAGGCTAAGGGAAGAGGATCACTGGGATCCAGGAGTTCAAGTCCTTTTATATTTTCTATTTTTCCATTTTCCCATGGTCTTCACTCTGCCCCGTCTGAACATCTGGCCCTGGACCAAACAGTTCGGCTTGACATTGGAGTCATCTTGCTGATGTATCGACGCTGTCAGAGGAAAAGCAGACAGGTCTCTGCATGCTTTCTTCCAGCCTGTGGTGTCACCTTGGGAAGGGGCTGATCTCTGGTGATACCGCCCAGTCCGCCATCCTTCTTCTTTGACACTTAGGGAGACTGATGGACAAGAAGTGGAAGCCTCTCCCTTGCTTCTGTGATGCTGCTCTATTTGCTGAGCAGAAGTGAGCAAATGGGTCCTTCCAGTCCACGCAAGTGGAGCAATCCCCATTTTGGTGCTGATGGAACCTTTGTTCTTATTTTAGAGTCCCTTTCGTTAGGCCAGTTTTTAGGTTACATTGCTCAGGAAGCTGAGACACAAACAGTTTTTATGGCTCATGAGATTGTAATGCCAAACTGGTTCCTAAAAAGGCACACCATTTTCAGCTCCAATAATCATGCTCTTTTTTTCCTTCTGTATCCTTACCTGCCAAATGTGTCAAGCTAAACACTGTATTTTTTTGTTTTAGTTTGTATTATTGGGTTACTAATAAAGTCTAAGGAGAAGGCATTTCTAAACCAAATATTTTAATTAGAATTCTGCTAAGACCCTCTTGTAGGATTCAAATGAAAGTATATTTTCTAAGAAATTGAACACAGAATAAACAGTCTGTACTGGAAAACTGCCTCAAAGAGCTCTGAAACAGCATAACATGGAACATGATAGAGGTGATTTTTTTTTTGTTTATAAAAATGATTTTTTGCTATGCTGAGGCTAGAGAACAGAAGAGGGCATGCCCAATGAAGAGGCTGGGGAGGAGAGCCAAGGTCTTCAGGCTGTGAGCTCTGCCTCAGTGGAGGCTCTGTCATACAGGTTGGGACAGTGAGAGGCCATTCTTCAGTGTCTGCCCTGTGTGTGAGCCTGGACCTACTAGTTCCTATCTGATGCAGAACTTGGTCCCCAGCTTGGCTCGTAGGACCGTACTGGTGTAGCATCTTTCTGCAAGTAAGTGGGAGAAAAGATCTGACTCACATTCATATTCAGTTTCAGGTACCAACATAATCAGTCTCTACTCTATAACCTGACTCTTGCCTCCACGGAAGAGCTTCATAGGCCGACATCTGAAGACTGTATTTCTAATGAAAACAAAATACCTCACTCACCTAAACCTCCTAGCTACTGTAATGTACACCCTGTGATTGCATATCCCTTCAATACCATACAAGATGTTCTTGTTTATTTGAGACAGTCTCGTGTAGCCCAGGCTGGCCTTGACCTTACTGTGTAGCTAAGGACAGCACCGAACTCCTGATCTTCTTGCTCCTGCCTCCCAAGTGCTGAGTTCATAGGCATGCACCACTGTGTCCAGTTCTTATTTTTAATTCTGAACTAATTTTCTTCGGTGCTGGGCATAAAATCCAGGCCCTCATCTATGCTAAGCACAGGCTCTACCACTAAGCCCAGATCCTTTATCATATAATTTTTATATTTCAATTTTAACAGATTTTTACAAATGCTATATTTCCCTTAGTGCCCTTTTGGATAGTTGTGTATTCCACAAAGTACAACCAACCAACAACAACCCACTCATACTGAGTACATAAGACCACAGGGCAGAGTCTTAACCATGCTAACTCAACCAAAAGGGTCTGTAGCAGTTGTGCTCCCTTTGGGGCCCAACCTCACACATGTCCCTCAGGGACAACCTGCCCAGTGGTGCTGTCACCTCAGGGAAATTACCCTCAACTGATGCTGCATCAGTGGGCTTCTACGGACACACCATCTTGACAATCCTCCTCTGTAACGGATGGACCTGGCCTCTCTCAGTGCACCCTCATGCCTACTCATGACAACCTGAGCTGTAGATATTCCTTCAGGGAGTAGTGGGCCAGGGGTAACTGAGAGTCCTAGGTGCTAGAACTCAAACTCAACTGGTGTTGACAGGGGAGCTGTGAAGTCAAACAGATCGGGACATGACACTCCTGGTACGTGATGCTGACTCCTTATAGTGGTCCTTCACCACTGGCGCTTCTTGATGACATCAGCAAAGACCCCCAAAAAGAAATCAACCAGAGGTGTGGGAAATAGGGGCCCCTGTCCTGTAAGGATAACAGAAACAAGAATACTGCTGCCAGCCTACCCTGATGCACATTTGCACATCTGCAGAGGGCCACTGGGCAGCTGGCAGGGTGCCTGGTGTGGGAGTCTCAGGGGTCCAGAGTGGGACAAGGGGTTTTGGTCACCAGGAAGCAATGCTCATGATACAAAGTGTGAGAGCAAGCACTCGCAGGCCCATTATTTTCCAACAGATCTGACTTGACTGGAGGACAGAGAAGCCAGGCCTGTTGACTACAGACAAACACATCACTTTCAGGCAGACTCAGGTTTTAGAATGTGTATGGCCATTTTAGGAAGATCTGCTGATTACTTTGGAATTTGTTATGCTCATTATTTACATAATTATTTTTGTAACATCACACCAGAAAGGAAGGGAGTGGGGAAGGAATGGGTCCTGGGTCACAATCAGAAGCCCTGCTGTGCCCTTGGCTCTGTGATGGCTGATGGTCCCCACTCTGCTCCCCTCTAGTTCCCTCTGCTGGGTCCGCTCTGTGCTTCTACTGTGCTGTGGGCAGGGCTTGAGTGTGTCCCAGAAAGTTCAGGTGCTGAAAGCTCGGCCAGCAGCATATGTGTTAAGTAATGGAACCTTTGGGATGCAGAAGCAAAGCAGGTGCCTGGAAATCTTACTCTGAAGAGATCAATGCAGTTCTCATGGGATGCTGATTACTTCCTGGGAGAGCAAATTATTTTAAAAGAGCAAAGCTGGCATCTGAATCTCTCTGGCTTCCTGCCTCACCCCGCATCCCTCTTCCACACATGGTCTCACTGCTGTAATGCACCAGGAGAGCCTCATGAGACTGCCTCGATTTTGGATTTTCAGCTTTCAAAGCTCTAAATGAATCTCTTTTCTTAACAACATACATAGTCTCAGGTATTTTGCTATAGTTATGAGAGTTGCTTAAGTCCCTCTTAAGACCAGGGGGACTGGCGAACCTCCAATTTCACAGCTTCATACGCCATCTATATCTACCCTTCCAACATTACAGGGCAAATTCAGAACACTGCTCCATCTCAGGAAGTTCCACCGTATAACACAAATCTTCATGGATTCCTCCCACATCCATTCATTTTGCTCTGATTTCCCATCTGAACTCCAGCTTTGCTGTTTGCCTGCCTAACGTAACACTTGAATCATTTTAGACATCTCAGCCTTAACGTGATACACTGTGTATTTTTCTCCTAACCATTACATGATCTTACTCAGCTTGTTTCACACTTTATAAAGCACTCCACATGGAAATGCTTTGAAAAAAATCACGTTTCAATGCTAGAGATTAAATCCGGGCTTTTACACACGCTGGATTAATGCTCTGCCATTAGCCACACCGCCAGTCCTGTAAGATACTCTGGGATGGTTATTATTATTTTTTTGTGTGTGTGCTAACTTGGCTATGTCTGGTATCCAAATATTTAGCCAAACATTATTTCTTTCTTTCAAATGTTTCCTTTACATGTATTTATCTATTTAGAGAGTGCATGTATGTGCGAGTACTCACGTGTAGAGATTAGAGGACACTTGTGGGAGTTGCTTCTCTCCTTCCACCACTGGGGTCCTGGTTACTAAACCCAGGTTGTCAAGCTTGGGAGCAAGTGTCTTTACCCGCTGAGCCATCTTGCCAGCCCTCTAGGCAGGCATTTAAAGGATGAGATTAGGTGAGACATGGTGGTGCACGCCTTTGGCCCAGCACTCGGGAGGCAGAGGCAGGTAGATCTCTGTGAGTTCGAGGCCAGCCTGGTCTACATAGTTAGGTGAGATTAACATTTACATTGGTGGACTTCTCATAAAGTAAATGACTCTCTGGAATGTGAGTGAGTCTAGTCCAGCCAGCTTAATAGAAAAAAGATGGCCCTCCTTTAAGAGAAGGGAATTCCACTACCCCTCCTAGCTCCACTCTCGGCACTGGAAGAGACTGAAAAATGAAGGTCACAGCTAAACCAGCGTTTTCTGTAGAAAGCAGGTGATAGGATATTATCAGCAACCACAGCAAACTGGGATTCACTGTTTTTCTTGGTAACAAATGCATTGAGAAGGGTGGCTGGAACATTTGCTGAGGATAAGACCCCACACTGCAGTCACATTCTGTCCCCTGTGCCCTTCCTGATGCCCACTTTAGCTCTATTAAGCCTCCCCCACTGTCTCAGTTGATGTCCTATTGCTGTGAAGATACTATGATCACAGTAAGTCTTATAAAGGAAACCTTTTTGTATTTTTCAAGACAGTGTTTCTCTGTGTAGCTCTGGCTGTCCTGGAACTCTCATTGTAGACCAGGTTGGTCTTGAACTCACAGAGATTCACCTGCCTCTACCTCCCAAATGATGGGATTAAGGGCATGTGCCATCATACCCAGCTAAAGGAAAACATTTAATTGAGGCTGGCTTACACTTCAGAGGTTTAGTCCATTATCATCATGGTGGGACATGGTGGCATGAAGGCAGACATGATGTTGGAGAAGGAGCTGAGAGTCCGACATCTTGGTCCACAGGCAAGAGGAAGTGATCTGTACTATACTGAGTACAGCTTGAGCATAGGCAATCTCAAAGCCCATCCCACAGTGACACACTTCCTCCAACAAAGCCATATCTACTCCAACACATTCACACCTCCTAATGTTTGGGGGCCATTTTCTTTCAAGCCACCACACCTACCCTCCCAGTTATACATACACTGCCTCAGAAGTTCTGCTGGCTCTCCCAGAGGAGAAGTGGGTGGCACAGGCAGCGACTTACTTTCTCCTGACTGTTCAGCTCCTGGTATGGGATGTGGGCAGGCAGGTAGGCATGGAGCAGAGCACAGAGGGCCAGCCCGTCACTCCAGCTGCTGCTGAAATTGGTGATATCAATGTTCTGTGGAGAGAGAAAAGCCAGTGTTAACCCACACTGCACTGTCAAGGCCACAAGGCAGACAGTGTGCCAGTGTTAACTCACACTGCACTCAAGGACACGGGCCAGACGATGTGCCAGTGTTAACCCACACTGCACTGTCAAGGACATAGGCCAGACAGTGTGCCAGTGTTAACCCACACTGCACTCAAGGACACGGGCCAGACAGTGTGTCAGTGTTAACCCACACAGCACTGTCAAGGACACAGCCAGACGGTGTGCCAGTGTTAACCCACACTGCACTGTCAAGGCCACGAGGCAGACAGTGTGCCAGTGTTAACCCACACTGCACTGTCAAGGACACGGTCAGACGATGTGCCAGTGTTAACCCACACTGCACTCAAGGACACGGGCCAGACAGTGTGGCAGTGTTAACCCACACTGCACTGTCAAGGACAGGATCCAGACAGTGTGCCAGTGCTAACCCACACTGCACTGTCAAGGACACGGGCCAGACAGTGTGTCAGTGCTAACCCACACTGCACTGTCAAGGACACAAGCCAGACAGTGTGCCACTGCTAACCCACACTGCACTGTCAAGGACACAAGCCAGACAGTGTGCCAGTGTTAACCCACACTGCACTGTCAAGGACAGGATCCAGACAGTGTGCCAGTGCTAACCCACACTGCACTGTCAAGGACACGGGCCAGACAGTGTGTCAGTGCTAACCCACACTGCACTGTCAAGGACACAAGCCAGACAGTGTGTCAGTGCTAACCCACACTGCACTGTCAAGGACACAAGCCAGACAGTGTGCCAGTGTTAACCCACACTGCACTGTCAAGGACACGGGTCAGACAGTGTGCCAGTGCTAACCCACACTGCACTGTCAAGGACATGGGCCAGACAGTGTGCCAGTGTTAACCCACACTTCACTGTCAAGGACACGAGGCAGACAGTGTGCCAGTGTTAACCCATACTGCACTGTCAAGGACAGGATCCAGACAGTGTGCCAGTGCTAACCCACACTGCACTGTCAAGGACATGGGCCAGACAGTGTGCCAGTGTTAACCCACACTGCACTGTCAAGGACACGAGGCAGACAGTGTGCCAGTGTTAACCCACACTGCACTGTCAAGGACAGGATCCGGACAGTGTGCCAGTGCTAACCCACACTGCACTGTCAAGGACATGGGCCAGACAGTGTGCCAGTGTTAACCCACACTGCACTGTCAAGGACACAGGCCAGATGGTGTGCCAGTGTTAACCCACACTGCACTGTCAAGGACAGGATCCAGACAGTGTGCTACAGGTGTCTATCTTTACATTTGGGTAAGGCAACATAATGAACTGGATTTTTTGAAGTGTGGTTAACTTTGGTAGCAGGAATGGCCTGTTGTGGTCCACATCCATTTACAGGAATATGTGTAGGGAAGATGAGACCATGGGGAATTCTTGCTTAACCCCTGGGGAAGCCATTAAAGCCTGATATAAATCTTGTTTCAAATTACTCCCCAGATGAGCTTTGTACATCCAGCATTTCCCAGACTTATTGGCCAAGGAAGAGCAATCATCACAATCATCATCACCATCACCACCACCACCACCACTACCATCACCACTACCACTACCACCACCACCACCACCACCACCATCATCATCACCACCACCACCACCACCACCACCACTACCACCACCACCACCATCACCACCACTACCACCACCATCATCATCACCACCATCACCACCACCATCATCACCACCACTACCACCACTATCATTACCATCACCATCAGTACCACCATCACTACCATTATTACCATTACCACCACCACCACCACCACCATCACCATTATTACCATCACCATCATCATAACTACATATAACCCAACAACATGCAGACCAGACAAAACATGACCATGGAGCCCAAGCTACAATTGCTTCTGTTCTATATTCCCTTCCTTAACTAGAGAAGCTTCTTAAGGGCAAGAGAAGCCTCAGGCTCAACAGTCTCCCTGATAACACAGAGAACAAGCAAGAATCATTCCTCTGGAAGGGAAAGAGGCTCCTCCTGCAGGACTGTCAGTGAGTCGGGGTGGCTGCTTGGCACACAGTGATAAGCAAGGTTATCTTCCCAAAGATTTAAAAATTTAAAGACCCCCCTCCCCCCCCAAAAAAATAGATTCAAAGGCCAGCCTGGTCTACATAGCGAGATCCAGGAAAGGCGCAAAGCTACACAGAGAAACCTTGTCTTGAAAAACCAAAAAAAAAAAAAAAAAAAAAAAAAAAAAAAAAAAAAAAAAAAAAAAAATTAAAGATATTAAAGATGTCCACAGGCCGAGGAGTTGGTACAGTGGGCAAAGGCATTTGCAGTCAAACCTGACCACCTAAGTTCAATCCCCAGGAACCACACAGTGGAAGGAGAGAAACAATTCCTGAAAGTTGTCCTCTGACCTCCACACACCTATAGTGGCATACCCATAATTATAATAACAGTAATGGAGACAAGGGTTTGAAGTCTGGGATCCTAACCCAATGGACTCAGAGGTTAAAGAGTGAGACATCACAGGAGCACAGTCTAAAACGATAAAAGCCAGGCTGAGTGTGTCCTGAGTCTTTCTCTGCCAATCTCTTGGATAAGTTCTTTCCCTTTTGCTCTATTAGATCCTGACTGCCCTCATCCTTTGCTGTTCATTTACTGTGGGCAAACTTGCTCTATGAGTGTGGAAATGATTCCTCTGTAATAAGGCATTTCTCCTGAGCATCAGATTCAAAGGAAAAACCTCAATCTGCCTGCACTTCTAATCTGTGTGGTCATTTAAAATAAAAAGACCAGGGGCTGGAGAGATGGCTCAGTGGTTAAGAGCACTGGCTGCTCTTACAGAGGACCCAGGTTCAATTCCCAGCACCTACGTGGCAGCTCATAACTAACTCACACCCTCACACAGACAAACATGCAGGCAAAATATCAACGCACATAAAATAAAATTAAATAAAAAAGGCCAAAGCCATTCATACACTAAGTCATAGCTTGTATAAAATTGTAGCTTCACGGTTCAGACATTGTTTTGTTTTATTGTTGTTATTTTTTTCTTTTCATTTTTGTTATTTTTTTAGAGAGCTTCTTAGGATAGAGCTCTTATTCCACTGAGGATTTATCCTCAGAGAGAAAGAGGCAAATGTGGTATAGTTTAAATATTGCCCGGCAATGGGGTCACATAGATCCCAAAGCATTCATTATAGGCTTTGCCAACGCCCTTGGTTATATTCCAGAACTTGACATTAAACACTTTTGCTGAAGACACCACATACTGGAGTCATAGAACGTGGAGAAATCAAGTTAGTACTCAACTGGAAGGGGCTAGGCATGATTTCAAAGGAGAAAAACCACCATCATTCTCATCCAGTTGTGAACCCCACAAGCTACAGTGAGTGACCGGCCTGACAAAATCCACCTGCTGGTGCAATAGTGGCGGAGATGTTATAGGAGTGACCAATGATTTTCTGATTAGCTCTAAAGCCTACACCATGAGATCGAAGCCATATCTAACATTGTTTAAGGGACTAAGAACCTGAGGTTGGGTAAGTCACAGGCCTTGGAGAACCCTATTCTATTACTCTGCCAAATGGACCTAGTATTAAAACAACTCCTAATGGCATATTGCTATACCCACAGATCAGAGCATCTCTCAACCCTCATCAGAGAAGCTTCCCTTTGCAGTGATGGCAATAAACACAAAGACCTTCAACTGGTCAATGTGTAGAGAATAAGAAACTGTGGAGTGCTTAGTGCTAGATGGGACATACCTATCATACCCTACCTCCAAAGCTCAGGAATCTTCATGGAAGAAGGAGGTGGAAAGAATATAAGAGTCAAAGGTGGTTGATAACATCAAGAAGACAGTGTTTCCCAGACACAACAGGGCAGCTGCACACATGAACTCAGCAATTGTGACGGCATGAATAAGATCTTCTCAAAGTACAGCCAGACAAAATTCCAGCATGGGGTTGGGTGGGGTGGAAAGTAGGCATGAAATCCCACCACTAGCTGAAGAGTTGCAGGCACTGGCAGCTGTTGGATGAGGAAGAGTCAGTTTTCTTTAATGATGTGACCCCTGGTAGGTTGACTGCACCAAGGCAGGCCCCATTCCCAGGACTAGCTGGGCAACACAAACCGGACTCCATGGGGAAAGGGGGAGGGGGGAATCTTTGCTGGTTGTTTCTTATCAACTTGACACATACCTAAGAGTTATCTGGAAGGAGGATGCAGTTGAGACAATGCCTTCATTAGACTACCTGTAAACAAGTCTTGAGAAAATTTTTTCTTTTCTTTTTTGATTAAGGATTGATGTGGGACAGCCCAGCCCATTGTGGGTGGTGCCATCCCTGGGCAGGTGGTCCTGGATTATATAAGAAAGCAGGCTGAGCCGGGCGGTGGTGGCGCACACCTTTAATCCCAGCACTCGGGAGGCAGAGCCAGGCGGATCTCTGTGAGTTCAAGGCCAGCCTGGACTACCAAGTGAGTTCCAGGAAAGGCGCAAAGCTACACAGAGAAACCCTGTCTCGAAAAACCAAAAAAAAACAAAAAACAAAAAAGAAAGCAGGCTGAGCAAGCCAGTAAACAGTGTTCCTCCACTGCTTCTGCTTCAGCTCCTGCCCGACTCCCTTGGATGATGGGCTGTGATGTGGAAATGTAAGCCAAATGGATCTTTTCCTCCCCCAGTTGCTTTTGGTCATGGTTGTTATTACAGCAATAGAAACCTAACTTGGAAAAAAGATTTCTCAAAGTTGGGTGGGAGGGTAGAAAGGGTAATTATGGGATGAATGGAAGAGGGTGGTAAATGTTCAAAATGAATTGTATGAAATTGTATGAAACTCAAAGACTTAATAAAAATATTGTTAACCCTCCCTCCCCCCTCATACATACAATACCTTGGCTGGAAGAAAAGTAAGACCAAGAGCATTTGGAACACAAGCCAGTGTTTTTTTCATTCTTTTTAAAAATTGACTTATTTTCTATGTA